TATATATATATATATATATATATAATTTCTGTGCCGCAAGCCGTGCCCTATTAGTTGGCGTGGTGTACTGTAAGTCCCCTCCAGTACTGTTGGGTTCTATTTGAACCTCGTTTTCTATATATATATATATGTATGTAATTTTCCCATGTGTCAAATCATGTACTCATATTCACATTGTAATGTATAATCTAACTTTATTTAAATGATCATTTTCAACCTTTCTTCCAAAGAGCTATTTGCGGTTAAGCTTTTGACCATATTGCATCTGAAGGAAGGTTATTCAATTGAAAAAAGATCAAGGTTTCTAAAGTAACATTTTTTTTTATATTAATTTTTTGTTTACAATTATTATTATTATTATTTATTTGGTTTCCAACCTTAATTTAAATAAATTGCTCGAGTGAAACCATACAATTAATGCTTTTGCTTATGAATATCACCATTCTTGGAGAAAAAAAAGAAATGCGCTAGAAAAAATTTTCTTTTCTTTTTATTAAATGCAATTTCATTATTCAAATTAACAATAGTGCTAGACCTACAAAAAACAATTTTATTAATAAGTTTTGTGTGCTAGATCAACTTGGATCACTTTAGACTAGTATGGGCAGACTCCTTCAAGAGATCAATTAAAGTAATAAAATTTATGAATTCATGTTCATTTGTCATGTGCATACTTTCGAGATATCCCCCGATGTTTTTTTTTTTTTTTTTTCTGGATAGAAATACCTTTATATATGTATTATAAGTCGTAAACCATCAAACTTTTGTATTGCTAGAACATTTCAAATTCAAGCATGTTTTCGGACACTCACCATCGTAGGCAATCCTTGGAAGACTTCAACAAGCATATTCTCTTTCAAGAAATGTTTTAATGTTTTAAATGTATTTCTCAACACCTACAATGTTAGCAACCCTTTTAGGTTATAGTAGGAAGAGAAAATGGCACTTTAATACTGGCATATGATGAAAATTGAAGCTTGAATTAGTGTTCAAGCTTTATATTATTTGCTTGAATGTTGTTTGAGTTATGCTTAAAACACGTTGAATCTAACAATATAATATGACCAAAATTTGAATGATGCTTAAATGTAGATTTTGACCAATAATTTCTAATTAAAATTTGAAAAAGAGGTTTGAGAAAGATTGAAATCAGATATATTGAAATTTGAGTCTTTTTTAATAAGTTTCTATTCAAGAAATTTAATTTAAATAATACTCAAAACTATGGTTTGAATATTGAATTTTAAACTTAGGTTTAAAACAAAGATATAAATAGAGGTATGGTTACTATTTGAAAATATCTCTTATGGTTTGAACCATACCTTACAAGATTTTCATACACAAATTTACAGTCCTGCCAAAGCTTACAATAGTGGAGTTTAGTTTGAACACTTGTTCAAACATTTATTTGGAGAGGGTTTGAATAGAAATTCAATTAGAAATTTGAATAATAACTAAGCAAGATTTGAATTATGTTTCAAAAAGGTTTAAACTAGGTTTGAATTGGGTTCAAATTGAGCTATAGATTATTTGTATCATAATCCATTACATTTTATTGTAATTAAATATATTGATTATAAAAAAAAAATTGAACTGATTATATTAATTTTAAAAAAGAAGAATTAAACTGAATACATATTTTTTTAAGCTAGTTGTAAACATCTGATGTTTTTTGCAGCATGGTTATGACATTTTGTGCCATAGTAGTTGCATTTGTGTTACATTGTATCTTCTTCATCCAGTAGAGGATGATCTTCTATTTTTTTCTTGGACTAGCATTCTTTAGATTTAATAAAATAATTAGAATAAAAATAGCTTTTATTTACGCTAGATTCTCTTATGTTCCCTAATTGGCTACTATATTTATTTTTTCAATAATAAGCTCAATCATGCTTCTTGAGAGTAAACTTATTTAATAGGCAATGATAACAAACACACGATGATAAATTGCAACTAATGCATCTTAATAAAAGATCCATTAAATTAAAGATTTTATATATTCATGCCTTCCTCTACAAACCAACCTCAAAATTAGGAACACAATCATGAACATGCAATTAAAATTTGGTCATTTGGGCAAACAATTGACAATTGATTTTTTGTCAACAACTTGTTCAATGCTTCTTAGATATCTCTTAACAATGATGCAATAGTCATATCTAAAACAATATCTTAGGAGTCCCTCCTACATAGAGTTTGACAATGCTTCTTAGATATCTCTTAACAATGATGCAATGGTCATATCTAAAACAATATTTTAGGAGTCCCTCCTACATAGTTGATAGTTTGCTCATTATACCACAAAGCTTTTTAATATGATAAATCAACCATATGATCTCCCTGTACATCAAATATTTTTGCTTCTAGTTTTAAATTTGGGTTGGATAAAAAAAGATTATTTTTTATGTGCAAAATAAGTTATAAATGAGCTTGTCAATTGTCTCTACTTCGAACATCCAAGGAATATGTACATTAATTTGGGTTGGATAAAAAAAGATTATTTTTTATGTGAAAAATAAGTTATAATTAAGCTTCTCAATTGTCTCTACTTCAAACATCCAAGGAATATGTACATTGTGGTACATGACTTTAAATATCAAATGACTCTTACTATGCCCATTTTCTTATATCATGTGTTTCATAATTATTTTTAAAGGTACACGGATGGAATAAATTTCATTATTATATTTTTTCTCCTTGAATTTAAAACTTTTATTGCATGTAGATGTAACTTCTTAATTACATCTTTTCTTTCAAATATTTTACTAAAGTTTATATGCAAAAAAAAAAAAAAGAATCTTACATGAGGTCATTGTATCAATAACCATTGTATTGGATGTGCACTTGGGTATTGACATTGTAAGAAGTAATTTGCATCTTACGATTTGTTGTTTTAAAATCAAAGCTAATGAAAATCAAAGAAATCTTACTCATTATTACTAGATTTAGTTAATGACATGATGGAATTGTCATATGTTATAGATGTTGTGGTAATAAAAATCGCCATCATTAAATTCATGTTGTAATTCCTTAACATATCTTTGTATTCTTTTAAATCAGCATATGCCACACAACATTAATTGATGATGGACTTGTTGACTTAACATCTTACTCAACTTTTATTATTTCTACTATTTATAGAATATTTTGGTAGCTATAAACTGCAAGCTAAATTTTATTGGTAAATAGATTCATAGATAGAAGAAAATTGGTGTATTTATATAAATATCATGAATCTAAATAATAATATCTTATTTTATCACTATCAAAGGAATTAATATGGTGGATTTTTCTCTTTTAAGATAATATGTTAACTATAGCTTCAATCCTACTTAGTTCTTATACATTTTTGTAACCCTATAAAAATTGTTCGAGTTATTTAAGGATTATAAGTATGTAAAATATTAATTTTTTTTGTCCCATTTTCTATTAATATTCCAACAAACATTGTTGTATTTTTTAGTTATATATCATATAACACAACAATTTTGATGATTTATTTATCTAAAAAAGAAAATAAAAATAAAGACAAGTAAATTAAATACTTGAGTTGAATAAATTCATTCGAACAAAATTCAAATGTTCTCTCTTCAAATCTTAATTAAAAAGGTTTATCAAAGTTTGATCAAAGTTGTAATGAGTTTTGAACCTCATTTGAACTTATTTCAAATTAAGTATCTAACTTCCTCAAAACATGTTCTGATTTTGTTAGATCTTGGTTTGAAACTAGTTGAGCAAATTTCAAAACATGTTTGATCAAGTTTGAAATAAAAGTTTGAATTTTGTTGGTCTTGCACAAAAAAATTCAAATGATCTTCCAATTGGATTTGAGGCTAACTCAAATATGGTGTAAACTTTTCTCTACTATAGATACAATGATATACTTTGAGAAAATATGTTGCACCGTTGATATATTTTTATATTAGATGCTTTTAATATAGTTTTTTTAATAAATAATATAATAAATTCTCCCCGGAATAATAACTATTTTAGTCTATAATACTTGATATTTTAGGGGGATCTATCACGATGGAAGAGATGTTGCTCATCATGAAAACAACAGGGCAAGGTTCATCCGGCGGCGATGATGGTAGAGGAAATTATGATTTTAGGGTTCTACTGGATTTAATCAACGAAAATGATAAGGTAAGAAAAAAATATATATATTTTTTGTAATGATTAAAATTAAAGATTAAATGCCTCTATTTGATCATGAAAAGCTCTAAATTACTTGTTTGCAGGAGATAAATAAAGAAGATGAATTAAAGGAAGTCTTTAAAGTGTTTGATAGAGATCAGAATGGTTTCATATCGGCCGCTGAGGTTTGTTTCAAAACAATTTATTATTTGTGTCGCTGGGAAAAATTTTCTAACTGGACTCCGGACATAGCTCTACGTGGGGACTCTAATAATATGTCGTCACGTCTGTTACATCGCGGAGGTTATTTCGGGGTTATTGAAGTGAAACTACAAATGTTATTTTAGGGTTAATGAAGAGAAAACTATATATTCCACTTCAACAACCCCGAAGTAACTCTTAAATAACCTCGAAATAACTCAGAAATAATCTCGAAATAACATCCGCTGTTTTATTTCATGGTTATTGAAGTGGAACTGTAGAGATTATTTCCGGATTATTTCAAAGTTATTTCAAAGTTATTGCGGAGTCCGCGGTTCCGTTTTAAATTTTTTTAGTTGGGTCCGATATAACACACATGACAGTATATTAGTGGCAGTCCGCACGTAGAGCTACGTCGAGAGTTCGAACAGATAATTTTTCCATGCCGCTGACGATCTCCTTTGATATCTCTTTTCATATTTACTACTCTATATAAATATTATTATACTGATTATAAATTAAAATATTTGCAAAGTAATACTCATAAAGTATATCCGGATTCGCTGATAAAATATAATGAGCTAAACTCATTTGTTAATTTTTTTAATAGGCAGCAATTAAGGTGCTTGGAAATGTCTAATTTTATTAAATTCATGTTAAATAAGATTTTCTAGTATACTATACATGATTTTTTA